TCTTTGATAAATTTTGCCTTTAGACTGCACACTTCTCAAGTTATCATCCTCAGCGATTGACATTTTTCAGCGATCGCTTTCTATTATGAGAACCTATCTTATGCTCCAAAACTGCCGAAAAATTTGTCAAATAAACTAATGAATTGCAGAAAAGTCTTCTTTTTTCGAAGATGTTAATTAATCATCACTGTTATTCACTGGCATTGGTTTTGTTACCGATCGCTTTGGCTGATAATTTGGTACTCTATTTTCCTGTGAATCCATCAGTGCCCGTACCTGAATCCCAACAAGACTTTGATCAAAATGCACCGCCAAGGTATGACTTTTTCCATACTCTTTGCACAATTGCATTTGAACTAGAATGGTAACTGAATGTGATTAATGTATTATACGCATTATTATTGCGTTAGTGTTCAATAAATTATACTGAATGTGATTAATTCAGGGTGTTATCTCGAGATCCGGATATGCCATCAACAGGTATTGTGTTCATCAAAAAGACAGCCAAGCATTCGGCACCAACTCAGTTCACTGGTGATTGGAAAGGTGAGTGCATGCAAACATTTCCATGTTGAACTGTGCTTAATATTTACAATCAAGTAGACTCGAGAACATTTGAGTAAACAAAGAGAAATTTATGCACGATTCATAATTCTCGATAAGATGGAGATAAATAAGCTGCATTCTGAAATCCCAACGAATGATATTGCTAACGATAAACGTAGCTCCTTCAGATTTTAAGGCATTTCACTTTTCAAACCGATTCTCTGAAACTAAACATCACCCCCCTCAAAAATTTTCCTTCTTCCGTCGAAAGAATCCCCATTCACTTTTATCCTAAATGTTTCTTCTCCAGTTTCGCCAAATACATAGATTGACCCCACTTCAAAATTTGTGATTGGTATTGCCTCGCATGGCCACATTTCCCCGAATAATTTAACCATTGGGTTTCCCTATCTTCCCAGAGACGTTTACGCTCACCTAAGAGCCATTCCATTGTGCAGCCGCTATGTGTTATGCGGGCAACATGGCCAGAATTATATGATGTCATCAAATAGATCTGATCTGTTCTCTGATAAGATTGCTGAAAGATTATTCGAACTTATTGCATCAATATGAAATGATCTAGTGAATCATGACATCTCGAAAAGAAAATTAATTTATTGCAGTGATTCTCCTCAATTTTGATCTGTTCTTCTTAAATTTAATCTGAATTGGGATCGGAAATACAATGAGAAATGAGTCGTTGTCAGTAAGCTTTGAACACATGTCAATCGTCTTCGAGTACAGTCAACATTCGAATATGATTGATTCAGAGCGATGATTTTGCAGGAGAACCGTTCATTGAGAAGGTTGGCACTAATGAAAGAGCATTCCAAATAGTGACGGCCAAACAAGTGCAGCCAAAAATTCAATTCGAGGAATTGGTGCCATTTTCGTCACAAATAGATCAGAAACACGTAGATGCATCGGTAAGTATTTGATATCGAGTCGTTTAATCATTGAATTCTTGCGAAGTTAATTATGAAGTTAATCACTGATCACTGAATTAGTTATTACTGATGAAATTGATCATGAATTTGTTATATCATTAATATTGGTGAATGGATCGTTGAAGTGCGGCAGCAATATCAAAATGCAATTTTCACAGTTTATTATTGGTTTTATTCAAATTACTTTTAACATCATCATGCAAATTAATGCCACTAAGCGATATTACTCCACAAATTATTGCTCTCCGCATGAAAGACTGCTATATTCCACTGCACCTGTGTATGTTACATAAAATATTCTACTTCTTGAAAATGAATGTCATCGAAAGATGCTCATTCCATAAACTCGATCGAAATTTATCGTTGCAGATCAGAAATATTCGTGACGCTTTTGCAACTTTTGTGAATTTAATCGTTCGTTAAACACATTCATCTATTAATTAAACGAACTGAAATTTAGCCTCGCAGACGAGAAAATCCAAACGATGCAGAAGGCGATGAAATCGACTATTCTGTATACGATACGGTTGATGATGATAGGCTCAATAATGCAAGTTTACATTAAATGCAAATTTCGGCTATATTAAAAATGCTTTGAATTGCCGCCACCTATTTCTTAAAGATTGCTTAAAGAAAATGAAGAATCGCATCAAATCAAAATCCAAATTTTAGGAGATATTAGATGGAACATCCGCAAAAA